GTATATACATATCTATATAATTAAAAATGTTTTCAGAAAGGAACTCATACTGGAGTTATAGTTCCTGTTGCTGTGACAAAATAGACTGCCAAGCCAGGTGGTGGTAGCACACACCTTTGATCCTGGCAGAGGCAGGTGGATCTATGAGTTCGAGGCCAGCCTGGACTACAGAGTGAGTTCCAGGACAGTCAGGGCTACACAGAGAAACCCTGTCTTGGAAAAACTAAATAATAAATAAATAAATAAATAAATAAATAAATAAATAAATAAATAGATAAATAGATAAATAGATAAATAGATAAATAGATAAATAGATAAATGATGATGATGGTGACGATACTGACATAAGCAGCTTAAGCAAGAGAGTTTATTTTGCCCATAGCTTGAGGGTCCAGCTCATCATGGTGAGGACATCCTGGCATGGGAGCTTGAGGCAGCTGATCATCGTATCTACAGGGAAGAAGACAGAGAACCAGGGATGCTCCTGCTCAGCTAACCCCTTCCTCTTCCTGGCCAGGACCCAAGCCAGGAGAACGATGCCTCCTCCTCCTTTAGGCTGGGTCTTCTGCACATCAAATAACTTAACCTGGATGAGTTCTCCTAGGTGTGCCTGCAGGACTCAGCATCCTTTGGGACCTGGTTCTAGCCAGATCTGTCTGCTCATTTCGTACTTCCTCTCCCTCCCTATTCTTGTTATTCATCCATTTTTCATTTTAGATTTATTTATTGTTTATACAACATTCTGTCTGCACACCAGATCTCACTATGGTTGTGAGCCACCATGGGGTTGCTGGGAATTGAACTCAGGACATTTGGAAGAACAGCCAGTGTTCTTGACCTCTGAGCCATCTCTCCAACCCGTATTTTTGTTTTTTTAAGACAGGGTTTCTCTAGCGCTGCCCGTTCTTGAACTCACAGAGAGCCGCCTGCCTCTGCCTCCAAGGGCTAGGATTAAAAGTGTGTGCCATCACCACACCCAGCAAGGAGAACTTTTTTCAGAGGGCAACAGTTAATGCAGAGACTAATAAGTATCAAAGTGCCGAGAGGAAGTGATTATGAATACTCAGCCCTCGACGACGGGACATCTAACCAACCCTACCTCAAGGCTCAGGAAAAAGGGGAGAGACAAGTGTAAGAGCAAGCACATGGGGAAGAGTGAGCCAAAATGCTGTCCTTTGGACATGCAACGGCTGCTGTATACAGGAACTCACAGCAGCTGCGAGTTCATGAAAAGCGCAGAACCAGGCCGGTCAAATTCAAGCATGGATGAGAGGCTCCTGAGGCCCAGTGTTAGCTGAGGAGTCCCCGACAGTTGATGAGGGCTGGTGGGGGAGGGAGAGCTGGTTTTTCTTTGTAGTTTTGGCCACCAATTGGTTGTCCACTATCTGATGAGTGCCCTCACAGGCGGGTGCACATGGACAACCCTACTGGACCCAGTGGGTTATGAAGAAGACATGGAGGGGGAGAAGGAGGACATGAACTTGGGAGGGGGACATGCCGGAGAAGTTAGAGATGGGGAGTCGGTAGTGATACGATCTCAATACCTCATACACATACATGGAATTCTCAAAAAAAATATCATATATATTAAAGATTTATTTATTATTTCTATAGTATTCTGCCTGCACATGAGAAGAGGGCACCAGATCTCATTACAGATGGTTGGGAGCCACCATGTGGTTTGTGGGAATTGAACTCAGGACCTTTGGAAGAACTGCCAGTTTTCTTAACCACTAAGCCATCTCTCCAGCCTCTCCCCGCCCCCAAAAAAATTATATTAAAAATCTGACAAGTGGGGACTGGAGAGATGGCTCAGAGGTTAAGAGCACTGGCTGCTCTTCCAGGGAACCCAGGTTCAATTCCCAGCACCCACATGACAGATCACAGCTGTCTGTAACTCTAGTTCTAGGAAATCCTATACCCTCATACAGACAGACATGCAGGCAAAACACCGACACGTGTAAAATAAAAATAAAGAAAACAAACCTGGCAGGAAGTTGGGGGTTTGGGAGACAGCTAGTGTGTGACGTATCCACCACCCCAGAATGAGGACGTAAGCTCTGACCCCCTACATAAGTCCTAAAGTGATAGCGTGCATATACAGTCCTGATGAGAATGAGACATAAAAGTGTGTTAGGCATTTTAGGGACTGGAGAAGTCTAAAGCGCCCTTGGTTCTGCCCTGACCAGAAGGCCCTGGGATAGCCTTCTCCCTTATGGTCACCTTGGACCCCTGGAAATGTGACAAAGGGAATCACCAGTTTTGTCCCTACTTAGGATTTAAAATACACTATTAAAAAAAATAGGGCTGTCATTTTTTTTTTTTTTTGAGGCCCACTAAAAGAAAAACTATTTGCTCTGAGTCAAAAGAACGGGATCTGAGTGGCCTTGGTGGAAATACGACAGTCTCATCTGCTCTGAAGATTGGAATATTGTGCACTATTGCCTCTTACCCTGAGTTAATCCGCTAGACTACTCATTACCTGGGGAGGAGATCATTTCCTCAGGAAAGCAGATTCACCTGAAGACTAGCTAAACAGATGGGGGGAATAATTATCCCCTTAATGAGATCATGGGCTTACCCTTCCCAGAAGCCACACTCTTGATGTAGTGGATTGCCGAGCACCACCACACAGCACTGCTAAGCCTGCCTGTTTAATGCCAATCTTCTGTCTATCTTCTTTCCACCCACCCATCCACGTAGGTACATATATATATATATATATGTGTGTGTGTGTGTGTGTGTGTGTGTGTGTACTGTCTCTGTACCCACTCTGTATTATCTATCTATCTATCTATCTATCTATCTATCTATCTATCTATCTATC